CCCCTTCAGGCCGATCTGCCGCCGAGTCGAACGCGCGGGATATCGCCTCGAAAACGCCTCGTCCCGAACGCCCATCGGGGACGTCCTCATGCGCTCGCGATGCCCTTCGCCGGCTTCGGCTTCACCAAGCAAACGTATCCCGCACTCACGTCGCAGCCGGAAACCAGGAGATTCATTAGTACGCTGCTGCCGATGCCGCAGGATGGATTCCTCCGATTGGCGTCGATGTTGTCCAAACCGTTGAGGCCGCGATGGTGGTGGTGGTCGCCGTCGCGACCGCCTTGGCTGTCGCCGCGACGACCGCCCCCACCTCCTCCCCCGCCACGGTCGCCTTCCGATTCAGCGAGGGAGTCGATGATGCCGTCGAGAGCGCGGACGCGCTCCGGCGTGTCGCGATTCAGCCCGCCGGCCTCGCTGCTCGGCGACGACGACAACGACGACGACGACGAGGATGCGCCGCCCAGGTCGTCGTAGGTGCGTGGCGACGTGATGCCTGGGGTATGTGAGACCAGACAGCGCAGCAACTGGCTGCCACAGACGCCGCCGAGTGTCTGCTTCCTACGAATGGTCGTCGTTGACAGCCGCTGTAATTGCTGCTGCTGCTGCCGCGTCAGCGAAATGTCATCGTCGGGCCGCACCGCCAGAACGACGTCGCGCCTTTCGAACGGCGAACTCTCGCATTTGAGACGCTTGTGCTCACTCTCCGAGTCCGCACAAGGCGTATGGATGCGCTTGCTAGGACGATCGGTCCGTTCCTGGCCGGTGGACCATCGTCCGGACTCGAAAGTTGTATCTGTAATGTCAAGGCAAACCGTTCTCGTTGCCCGTTAACATGCTATATTCACGTTGTTATAATGGCTGAAAACAAATCACCAAGTAAACCTTGCGAAACGAATGAACTGAAGGAACTTGACACAGATTCGTATCAACAGTCGGATCTTACCTGAGGCAAATTTCAAAAAACAACCGTTGACACGGGCCATGATGATGACAGAGATTAAATAGATCTGAGCGCACTTACTTTTTTTAGGCATCTGCCCGAAGATCTGCGCAGGGTTCACCAGACCCCCGCCATAGTCGTTGTACCGCCGTGACGCCACTTGCTCGGTTCGCAGCAATTGCGCCAGGCTCGACTCGGATCCGCGTTGCTCCCGATCCTCGGCCAGCCTGTCGGGAAGGGAAAGGACGATGACGAAAACAGCACATTTTTCATGGAAAAACCAAGTAACCCCCGTTTGTGTATTCAACCTGAAGAAGTTTTGTAGAACATTTTTTTGCAATGTTGTACCACGGCAAGGTTTTTTTCGGAAACGTCTCTGCAAAACAAACAGGCTCGATGGAGCCCTAATCTGACCCGATGCATTACCAGATTGTCATTTATGCTCGGTCCTATATCCGTTTGGGTCAAACCAAAGTCTGGCTGGAGTCATTTTGTCGGCAAAAACCAGTCCCTGTGTCATGCTCGGATATAACTTCGCTCCAAGCCAGGACACAGGTCTGGCCAGATTACGTTTGATAACGAATCGGGGCCCTGTGAAGGGTCTTAGTTTGCAGGACTCTGATTAGAAGACAACTCCGTTCTCATGTATGCCATGCGATGACATTTACCACTTGGAGGATCCTTTGTCGGAGGGCTGCGACGAGCCCCACATAACCATGTCGTCGCTGATGAGCAGTTCCAACGTCTCGTCTTGATCGGACATCGGGATATAGGGTGCTCTAAGGGCAAGCTCATCGTCCGCTATGCTATCGCTAATGCCCAACATCAGCATTTCATCCTCGGAGAGGCCGTCGCCGCCGCTGCCTCCTGTAGGGCTACCCAGTGAGTCGACGCTGCGCTCGGGACTCTACAGGACAGAACGTCGTACGATCATACAGCGTGTACGCGCTGATAATGCCTGGTAGATCATCATGGTCGCTCACCTGCCGGTATTTGGAGAGGGACGGCGACACGACGCTTGGGTCGATGCCACAAGGACTCTCAGGCGAATCGCCGTACATGAAAGGATCACTGTCGGCTAGGCGATCAGCTTTAGTCCTGGTAATATCCACCAAGTCGGCGTCCTTGAGGGACTCGCCGAGGTCCGTGGTTGATCTCAGTTCCGGTGCCAGGACTCCGCTGGGGCTCAGCAGTTGGCAGTAGTTGTCACTGCCGAGGATATCGTCCAACATGTCTGATAAGAAAGGCGGGTCCTCCAGAGGTACGCACACGTCGCCAGGCGTGGGCGCTAGATGCGTCAGATCCTCTGGTTCGTCCTTCAACACTAAAACGCGAAAAAAGAAAAACAATATGATTCGACGAAAACGCGATTTTTCCCGCCGATGAGATTATTAGTCTTCCAAATGATAATCGATTGAACACTGTTGAAGAATTCGTCTTGAAGAATCGTTCTCTCTCTTTTTCTCGTGATAAAAAGCACATACTGGTAAGACCCGGCTGATCTTCGCTGAAAGTTAAGAAGCCCTTGTTCATGTCCTCGGTACGAGGCGCGAAGATGCTCGCTGTGGCTGTCTGTGGCGACGGTCGGCAGGATAATTGTTGCTGCTGTTGCTCCTGCTGCGACTGTTGCGCGAGCGGCGCGAACAGGTGCCTCGTGACCGCCTGCGGGCGTCCTCTGCGTCCGGGACTATCTGAAGAATCGCGCTCGATCGCCGGTTTACCCTGAAATCAAGAATCGCGCGTGCTCGCATGACGAGTCCCCTGAGACATCCGGTTCGATAAAATTTCCGAGAACGATATCAATTCGATTCGCTTCCGTATCGGGCTGCGATCAGACGGGGAAAAAGAATATCTGCTATCGCAGCTGAAATCCCCGCTCCGACTTGGCAAATCTATAGCCATGTTAACATGCGGACAATCAATTTTCAATGTTACGGTTAATTAAGTATCAAAGCTGCTAAAATTAATTATTGCACGTAATAAATTTTTCATGGTATAATAAATCAACAAATCTAATTAATTTGAAAACTTGAATTCAGAATGAATTTGAATTTTCTCCTCAGTAAATCATTGCAATTTGATTCAAATCTAAATAAATGTGACAAATTGAAACGGCAATGTTTATTGGCGCGGCAAAGACGATCCTCTACCAAAACCGATGGAAACTACAGTTTAGGATATTCAACGATTTAATTGTAGATTCGCCGAAATCAACCGATCCATTATTTTTCACTCGTCTGGTGCGCACGGATCTTTGCTAGACCGACAAATTGGCCGTTTCGACTTGTCGAATCCAAATCGGATTCGAATCAGACAGCCTCACAAACATTTACTTGAGGAAAAAGTTAAAATTCAATTTGAATTCACACAAAGTCGAGTGAGTTGAGTTTCGATTTATTGCGATACAGGCATTTACCGAATATAATAACGAACAATAATGAGTCAGGTGTTACCTGGAATATGAAGGGCGTGCTCGCGAACGTCGGGCGGCAGTCCTCCTGCCGCTCGGCCGCTGCCGACTTGCTGTCTTGCAACCACTTGGTCGTGGCGTTAAGGATGGGCTGCTTCGGGGACTCCTTGAGGGTCCGCACGCCGACGGACGCCTTCTCGTTCTGGAACGACCTCAGGAAACCGTCGACCTTCCGCGACTCGTCCTTGCCGCAATCGTCCCAGTTCAACGAGCGTTGGAAGATCGAGGCTGTGACGGTGAGCGGTCTCGGACGGTCTCGGTCGCTCTTCCTCAGCGCGTCGTCGTCCACGATCGCCGGCTCTTCCGGCACGTTGACGACGTCCGCTGGGACTGCCTCCTCTTCCTTCTTGTCGTCGTCTTCGTCGCCCGTCGGGGCCGGCGGTCCGCTAGCGGTCGGCACCAAGGCCGGCAATGAAGCTTCCGATTTCACCAGGTCGGCGCTGTCGCGTCCGGCCAGTTGACGCTCGCTGTACACCTCATCCTCGTGTTCGATCCCACTGCAAGCAGAATCGCAAGCGACCGCGTGGATAACGTGTCCTTCTCTCTTTCTCTCTTTCCGCGACCTCGCGTCCCAGGACGCGTCGATTGGAAACTCCACGGCACCGGGAGATCGAAAGGGCGATCCGGAGAAAACGCGATGAGATTTATCGCTGCGACGACAGGGAACTTGCAAAGTTGTTTCCCATCTTTTCCTTCTCTCTCTCTCTCTCTCTCTCTCTCTTTGAGAAACCAATTCTAATTTCCTTCTCCGCGAGTAACGCAATCGCGAGAGAAAGATCTCGCTAGAATTTTCCTTTCGCGTGCATCGGCCGGGGCACGGATGCGTTAACTCTTATCTAATGTACGAGAATCGGACGATATGGCATTATTACGACAGAACGCGATACGAAGCTACGGCGCACGTTTATCATGAAGGAATCACACGCGTGCACAAGCGATATGAGGCATCGAAGAGAAACTCCGATATGGCATATTCGCCTCCGTTTGTCCCCCTCTCTCTCTCTCTTTCCTCCTATCCCGCGAAACACCGGCACCACACGTGCACACGTGTGCGCGCACGTGTCCGCGCGACCCAACCACGTACGTACGGTGCGTGTCTGGCCTGTCACAGCTGTGTCGTAACAAACTCCGGAAGTTTCCAAAAAAGCACCGGACGGAGCTTTCAAGTCCGAGAGGAGGAGTCCGCCGGCCGTGAAGAGGCCGAGGGCGCCGCTTCGATCGCGTTCTCTGAATCGACTGATTTCACGCTCGCCTTGGGTAAAAAACTCGTTCCCCCGATTGTAATGACGCAGAATATCGCGGTAATCTCGAACACGCCATTCCCGTCTCAGTCGCAGATACGCATGTGTGAAACCTGTATAGGTGGACTACAGGTGTCAAAGACCGCAGGATCACCGATCGAAGACTGGAAAGTCGCAGCCGATCGGACGAGGCAAGATCGAAATTAGCCGGCACGCCGAATTCTGATCTCTAAACCTTCGATACCTGGTCTGGCACGGGCCTGATAATGAGTCGACCGCACCACTGCACACGCACCGGAGCACACTCCGGATCATCCAACATCCACTCGGACTTTCGTACGCTCTGACGGCGGCGCATCGTTGCTCTCGTGCAATCTCTCTCTCTCTCTCTCTCTCTCTCTACTCTCTTTCCCCCTCTCTTTCCTTCTCTCTTCGTTCGCCCGGGTCCTGACCCGCTCTCGCGAGAACATATCTCGTGATCTCTTTCTCTCCCCTTCCCCTCCCACTCCCCTATGTCTCTCAGTCCCTCTCACTCCCTCGGTCTCTCGTCGACTCGCAACAGTAGTTCACCGTAATCGCGAGAACGCGCTTATGTAATCGGCTCGCCAGTCGACGGCTTTTTCCGCACGTCACGCGCTGCTCCGCGTTGAGACTGATTTTCCGCGCCTTTGTTTCCGAAGGGAAATCGATGGCTAGCGATCGAAAGGTATCTCGACTTTTATCCCACGGAATGAAACGCGACGGGATAATTGTTCCATAATTTTTTATTCCCCGAGCAAGAATAACCCACATTGTATTCCGTGACAATAGCAGTCGCGTCTCCGATTTCAACAACATTGAGATTTCCTCTCTTTCTCTCTCTCTCTCTCTCTCTCTCTCTTTCAAGTTCAAGTTTTCCTTTTGAATCTTTCTTTCTTTCTCTTGAGCACCGAAGTACTCCATCGCTCGATCAACAACCGACACACCTTGCTATACACCTCGGGCGTCGTCGGTTGTGCCTCTTTTCTCTTGCGTCACGCGCGTTACACGGCGCTCCGCATATGCGAACAATGTCGTTATTACCGGTGCGCAAAGTCGCGCCAGTCGACTCATCATTGACGTGCGCGATCAATTGATAGGGCGATTCTTTTAATGGACCTTGGCGACTTTGCCGGGCCTCCCTTTCCCCGCATCGTCTACTCTCTAGTGAATTCCTTAGAGGGAAATCTTACTTGAAATGAATGAAAATGCATTCTAAGATACAATGAAAATACCGGAAGAGCATAAGAATAACGAGCTCAGAGTGGATAAAATTTTAGTATTTTCGTATCGCCACTGTTTACCTGCGTTGGCTTTTACTGATCTCTTTCCGTCATTGATTGTGTATCTTGAGAGATATGTAATTTTATTTGTTCATGTTAAATTAAACGTTTCAATCGATCAGAGTGACTTTATTTCCGCGAGACGGTGGGATAAGTCGAATTCATTCTTAAATTTTGAATGAAAATTTCGCTCAACGACTCAGAGTGGAGAATTCACTCTATACGAGTGAAAAGCCATTTGAATTCAAATGACTCGGCTGTTGCTCTGTTTTTCGAATGGAATTTCAGTGAATGAAATTTCGAGAGCAGGAAACGGCGAACGACGGAAAATATCAATGACGCGTAATCGCGCGATTAATCGTCCTCGATGCGTCTCTCTCTCTTCCGTGCCTACGGCGTGACACATATTTGTGAGCTCGCTTACGTTGAGTCGATTACGCCCACATTATTTCTCCGATCACACGGAGCACAGTTTTAAGCGATTTTACGGCCTTAACCCCGAAGATAACCTTCGGGTATAAATATATCGAGCCAACACAACAAGTCCCGTTTGCACTCTTTTAACCCTTCTAGCTCTCGTGAGGCGAGTTTAGAATATTTCTCGCTTTTTCTCGGGCGCGATTTTTTTCTTCACATGGGTGCTGATTATCGCGAACGAGTGTATTACGCGAAATAACGTGGGAAGTATACACAGAGAGGAATACGAAAATGCGAAATGCACACATTTTGACCTGTCAATATTCATGTACTCAACGAACCTAACGTTGATTGATAGCTCAGCGGTGAGAAGTAATAGAGAATACGACGCTAGTTTGGCGAAAGTCAGGAAACTTCCCACATCGATTCACATGTGCGAGACATGTGCGATCTGATTCCTTTGCAGATTTATTCGTGTGTCTTTTCTCGCGGTCAAAGATTCGCAGCGGGATTCGTCGCGGATGTGTGCACACGGATCTACGCGGAGAGCGCTAAGTGACTTTAACCGGTCGCAACAGCTCGGTAATTGCCGCAAATTGACCAGCGGACCCCAAACGCACGCGCTACGTGCGCGTAGTGGTGCGTGGACGCGTGCAAATCACGTACGCGAACGCCGAACTCGCTCGTCGTGTGCGCACTCGTGACGAGAATCCATTTGAATCGAAGAACGAGCGAGCGAGCGAATGTGTTACGGCACGGAAAGAAAATTCCGGAACAATATTAACCGGCGTAAAACGCACTCAAGAGCAAGCACGGCGTAATACGGTAATTGAGCCGATCCTACCTTGAGACAAGATGCATTGGCGTAACGATCAGTGCGCAGAGATAAAAAAAAAAAGGGGATAGAAGATCATTAAGTCCACATGCTTTGTTATCTGAATAAAATTGCACAACAAGAAATGTTGCTACGGAAAAAGAATATTTTCCATAAAAATAATTGTTGGTATAACTGTCATACAAAAAAAATATCTTAAGCATACTAGAGAAAAATAATTCGAAGCGAGAGCAAATTTTCTATGATATTGTAACAAATAAATAAGTAAATGGAGTATAGGATGTTTCTCAAGTACCGTTCAATATTTTAGGAGTTTATTTTTCAAGTTTTTTTTTTTATGAAGAAATGAATATACGTTCATATCAATTTTTCTTTATAAAATGACTTCAAAAATCTTAAAATATTGGACAATATAATCAAGAAATACATTGTATATTCATGTGTTTGCTGGGACAGCATGAAATTTGATGTCTCCTTGAATTATTTTTCTTTGTGTACAAGATAACGAATCTAAAAGCGTTAAGATGAAATATTATTATATGATCGGTTAAAGGAGGTTAAATGGGAAGTCCGATGGGGACGGGCGAGTTTCGAAGAGGTCCCATCGGTCCCACGTGCTCATTTGCACAAGCGAGTCGACGGCGGTTGGTGGAGTCGGTCGGTCGGCCGTCACTCTATTTTTAACCCCGATATACCCGTAGCGCATATGTAACCCGCACCTAACTCAATCCATCCTCCCTCCCGATCGGACCAACCGGGTCGGCCGGGCCGGGAGTGCCAAGGTGCGGGAGTGCGCGAAACTCGAGCGATTTGTTGTGATCGTGCGGGTACAGCGGCGAGTGCATCCGCACGGCCGAATTGGTTTGGCCGGCTCTCTCGAGGTCGATGGCGCGACCGGCCTCAAAATTTCTTGGAATTTGAAATCTCACTGAGAACAAATGAAAATTCCGCTCGGAACGATGACGAAAATACCGCCGCTCGAAAAAATCCATCAGGGTGATTTCGACGTGTTTAAATGTTTCACTCAAGCTCAGGGTGGATTTTTGAGCCATACGAGCGAACGTTTCAATTGCGATCAAATTGAATTTAGTCCTGTGTGGTGATGGAATACAGTCAATCGCCAAAAAGATTCTAACATTTTCTTATAAATTTCGCAACATATCTCGTGTCCAATGGGAGAATTTGTTTTTTAGCCATTCTCAGGAGATACATTTTCCTATTGGATACGAAATACGTTTGGAAACTCACCGAAAAAAGTGTTTACGACTGACCACATACACGTCAAATCGACCCTTCAATTTTGAAAACACTCGACGAGTCAGAGTGGAGGAATCGCTCTCGTATAATTTCATTGATTCGACTTCGAGTGACTCGGTCGTCACTTTGTTCTTCGAGTGAAATTTCACTTAAAAAAATGAAAAAAAAATCTTACTGTTTACGTTTCTTGCGTGCCGTGAGGTGAAATCTCTCCTCATGAATTTATTCTCGCGCACGCATTATATATGTGAGAACACGAACATCAAGTTCCTACACAAACATTAAGTTGATACGATATTCCTTGATGAAACTTCCATCTCGATGATAAATGTACTTGGTACTAAACGTGATCACGATAAATTCAAAGGCGAAACTTCGAGCCTCCGGCCGACTCGTACAAAATAAACGCGCAGATTGACGAATTTTGAATTTTAGGGCCAGTTTCA